CATCCCTCTACACTTCCGGCCTATCAAACAGCGTATTTCGTCGTGGACTGCCGCCATTCGTATGGCATCGCGCCGCATAAGCAAAGACCTCACGAAACAGCCACTTCAATACACCGTCACCCGCGAGTCCTACTGCAGAACCTTGTGTCTTCGTCATGTCTTCTGTAAGTGTGCATCAGACAGAACATACCCGGTCGCACAACTCATGACCTACTTCTCGCATTGCAGAAGGAGGAGCGATGCCAGCAATGTCTAGGCGATCAGCTATTCACCGATCATGGCGCGGGGCATATCGTGTACGTTTTCTCTCTTTGTCGCGCATCATTTGCCCAACTCACCGTATCTTGGATAGCTGCATGACATGTGGTAATATCGTCAGCGACACTGTTCTTTCCGCAGAGATCGAGTTCGGAGAAGGAGGTGGAGGAGCAGCTTTTGTGCAAGGTTCTTTTGTTGCCGATAACGCTAGTAGGTGTAATGCTCCTTACATTGCGAAAGGCTTTCCATATTGAAATCATATACTCGTAGCTGGAGCAAGGTTTGCTGGTCCCGGAAGACGACAAGGCGGAACGGAAAGTCGTGAACAGACTTTAGCGAATGGCGAGTATCACAGTCTTAGGTCACTTTTCCGTGTATTTACCGATCTCTTAATTTACCAGGAAGGAAAGCATGTAATGCTCTGGCTCACCTGCTAAACCTCGGGCAAGGCATTGCTGATGCCGGTGCGAGATGGTTCAATTTGGCCGTCACCTACGAATTCACGAAAGGACGAAAGCAGCAATATGTTATAGCAGCGTGCCTATATATCGCATGCAGGAAGGTGAAGAATGATGTGATGCTTATCGATTTCAGTGACAAGTTGCATGTGAGTGCAGAATCTGACGAAACGATTCTGGAGTTAATAAGGCTGATGATCCCGTGATAGGTGAATGTCTTTGAACTGGGTAGCACATACCTGAAGCTGGTGCGCAAGCTGAACCTGAAGGATATCCCGTTGATCGACCCCTCGATCTACATCGCGAGATTCGCCGGTCTGCTCGAGTTTGGAGAAGACACCAGGCGGGTTGCTCAGGATGCCTCGCGGCTAGTTTCCCGGTTTGAACGAGACTGGATGCAAACCGGTCGTCGACCATCAGGAATCTGTGGAGCTTGTCTCATTCTCGCGGCTCGAATGAACAATTATCGTCGATCCGTCGCCGAGGTCGTGCAAGTCGTTAAGATTGCCGATGTTACGCTCAGGAAACGACTGGCGGAATTCGGCGCCACGGACAGCAGCCAATTGACCGTAAAGCAGTTTCGAGAAATGTGGTTGGCGGACGCGGACAAACCTCCAGCTATGATCAAAAATCTGAAAAAAGAGGCAGAGCAGGGGAAGAGAGCCGCGAGAAGAGCAAGAGGAGTGGATTCAGAGGAGAGTACTGTGGATGAGGATGCGGATGAAGACGTCAAGGCGGCCAAGGTGCGAAGGAGGAAGAGAAGGGAGCAGATCAAGGAGGAAAAAGAAAGAGCAAAAAAGTTGAGGATGGAGGCAGGGATTAGGGAAAGTGATGAAGAAAGCGAAATGGGCACACCAGCACAATCATCGAAAGCGGGAAGTACAGCACGCGGCACTCCCGACCCGGAACAAGTAGCTTTGCGGCAACTACATGGGTCTCCCACGCCGATCAGAACAAAAGCTGTGGCGAATGATGCTCTACAGCGTATTGTAGAAGAAATGGCAAGACTGGAAGAGGAAAGAGCTGCATTGGACGCGGAAGAAGAAGCGGAAAAAGCCAACGGAACGTCTCGAATGCCAGCAGAAGACAGTATCCTCAAACGAATAGCGGACGACGATAGAGGACTGGATACGCAGCTTCAAACTGTCAACAACGAAGAGAAAAGTGGATCGGACAAGGATGGTGCGGGTGCGACATTGGAAGAGGAACTCGATAATCCGTTGGTCGATCTCGCAGTGACCGGGGAAATTGAAGAATATATGCGGGAAGGACGCCCGGCCGAACTGATGCATTCTCTGGACGAACACGAACAACGGAGGATGAAACAGTTGAAGCGCAAACTGAACAGTCAAGATGAGGACTTGAGCGGGCTCGACGAGGGTGAACTCGATAGCTACCTGCTTGACGAGCAGGCGGTCAAGGTGAAGACGATGATCTGGAACAAGATGAATAGGGAATATTTGATCAAGTTATACGGTATGTTCTTCTGCTATTAATTCCAAGCACTCCGCGACTGATCCGAAGGTGTATGGAATAGCCAAGCAAGCCCGGCAAGCAGGCGAAGTCGATCCGAGTGCACCTGCAAAGGTAATGGTAATGCTCTGAGGTATTCGAGCATTTTTGCTGAACTCTCCTTTAACTTGACTAGCCAAAACGGAAGAAGAACAACAAGATCGGCCCTGCGTCAACAGGCATGGAAGCTGTCCAGAATCTGGCAACCCACAAAAAGTTCAGTAGGAAGATGAATTACGATCAACTCGCCAAACTCATGCAGGAAGACAGCGACGAAGATGATACCAGCAGATTACAAAGAATGCCGAGCACTGCTCCAGAGCCGCAATATGGATCACGTCTTTCGGATGCCTCTCGCAACAATGCTCGACATGATGAGATTGCCGATCGTGGTTATGGTAAGCTGATGAGCGCTTTTTTTCTGTCTGACTTGGAACTGAAATTTCGTGCGCTACAGGTTCCGACAAGGAGAATGGATCTGAAAAAGAAGATGCCAACGAAAAAGAAGATCTCAATGAAAAGGAAGATTCTCCCGAAATCGTGGAGGAGCACCATGACAGTCTCCCGCCTGCAGAAACAGCATACGTCGATGATGAAGACGAACCTCCGGTGCCAGCCTGGCAAAGATTCCAGAATTACGAAGAGGATGAAGGGTTCGAAGAGTTATAGCTTGAGACCAACCTTACAAAGCTTAGCTTTGCCACGATATCGAACGATACTACACTTTCCGACCAGCACCGACTGGCTGCTACTGCTGCGCCAACTTTGTTGTCTCTGGTCGTTCTTCTGTTCTTCAGCTTTACCTGTACATACGGACCTGCGCCCTTGCCCCTGACCTCACACGGCTTGGATGATATATATTTACGGCAGACGTACAGTCACGCCGTGTCCCGATCCATATGGTGCTGCTATAGAAACTATAGAATATGGATAGCTACTAGCGAGCTATTTCTCGGAGTTCACTGTAAATAGCGGTCAAACGATCACGCCTGACAATTCCGTATGTGCGGATTCCAACAAGCAGGGAGGCGAGTTGAACACGTTGTAGTTAAGGGAACCCCGTGAATCTTGATATACTGATACAACGTTGTATGCGGGACTACGTGACTTGATGGCATAAATCGGAAATAACGCCACATCTATTCTATTACTCGCAAGGCCACAAAAATCTACAAAAGATACCCACAACAAGAGCTTTACAACAAAATACAGGTTTCAATCCACGCAAAGCATCAAGCTCAATCCACATCATCGGCTCTATCCGTATCGCCGGCGGGTGTGGTAGTCGTATTCGTGGTCGTAGTCGCACTTTCGCTTTCACTGCTCTCCTCATCGCTGCTGCTCGAATCAGCATCGTCCTTCTTGTGAATCTGGAACGCCATGCTCCAGAAAACAGCTGATTCGTCTCGAGTTTTGCAGATGTATGTAGCAGGTTGGCCGTCCCAATATCGCAGAAGTGGAATTCTCAAGGCAAACGGTTGCGGCAGCACCGCACAGAGTGTGCTGAAGTCTGCGATAAACAATCGTGATTAGTTGCATGAGGCGACGAGAAAGTCATTCTGGAACAGTGACTTGCCTAGCAATCCATTGCAGAACTCCATTCCCACTTCCCAGTTCTCATCCAAGACCAAAGACTGCCGATTCTCCTTGTTGGTGAGCCAACGCCTTCTAGCCTTTACAGCTGCGTCCGTTCCCACTCCCCAGTCCTGTGCCGGGTCAGGTGTCGCTATCACTTCGTCTGACAGATTACCGACATTCTCCCTTCGCAATGCGATGATCCCTTCGTAGGAATCTTCAGTTATCACAGCCGGACGCCGCTGTTTGCTAGTGCCGTCCGCGTTGCCATTCCCGATTCCGTTCCCGTTCATTTTACTAGTTCCTACTTTCTGAAGGGATAGGTAATTCATAGAAGCCAACGTCGGTGAGCTGTTGACAAGTCTTGCAGGTCAGCTAAGCGGACAAATGATATATGCAAGCCGACTTACAGAGCCCAGGGCTTGTCAGCATAAGGATCCATGGCGACATTCGGGTCTACCCAGCTAATGGAGTGGAGCTTTCGGTCAAGTCAAGTATTGATCGCTATCAAGATCCAACGACGTACTTGATGAATCGCATGGCAATGGACGTTCCCCACGGTAAGCTAGCTCTGATGGGTTTCTCAAATACATTTCCAAAAAGGATATCGTCTGCAGATGTTGGTTTTAGAAAGCGCCCTGGGCACGCCGGAACATGCCTGTATTCAGTGACGCGACTTGTGCTTTCTGCGAGCGGATAATGCTGACCTCGAACCACAATACCATACGTCATGCTCTCCCTCCCGCGTTCACCAAAGTACTCCATACCATCTCCCTTTTTCTGTAACCCTCGATAGTCTTTGACCCATACAGACATCTCTCCATCAAAGGCGTTGGTCGTTATCGGTACTGGGGTTGTCGAATTGACATGAACAGGTTCGACCGGTGGATAGGCTGCATCCCCTTCCGGATGCAGGATCTTGAGGACCGGAGCCATGGTGTACGGGTGTGTTGGAATTCAAGGCGTTGTCAACCGGAACTGATACTCCGTGTTCTTTCGCATGCACATCAACTCAGCAGAATCAAGCGTTCAGCTATCCATCTTCATAGCGAGCTCTCCAGTCCCGACTGCGATCGGCGATCCTTGACGTCAGTCGGCCCGCGCTGATAAGGCACTCCTGCCAATCGAGAACGCGTCGCGGCACAGGCATTTTGCGGTTCAGTTATATCTCACAACTTAACTTGCTCACTATCGAATGGTCGCTTGATGTAGTTGGTTATCATATCTGCTTTACAATGTTACTACGGTAATACGCAAACGCAGAATGTCGTCAGTTCGATCCTGACAGTGATCATCCTTTTTGCTTCGAGCGAAGGGCATCAACACAAGTACGTTTTCCCAGCGCGCTGAAAGGCGCGCGGTTCCCCTCATCCCCTTTTGCTTTCCGAAGTAGGTTGCAGCATTTACCAAAGTGTACCCCATTCTGGCACAAGCTTGCACCGACTCCTGGGTGGTACATACCAACGCATCATTGCCGAGTAATCGTTTCTGCCGTCATTCCACCAGTCACTGTCTCCTCTGCTCCTGAGGCCAGGGGTACGACAGCAACCGAAAACAAAGGAGAGGTGTTGAGTTGGTTCGTTGTACAGCTCCCACGCCACTTATTTAAGCAAATCGTGCATCAAGCTGCTTGCCGGCTATTCACAATACTCCCTCTTCCACTCGGCTCCACTCCTTTCCACTCTCAAATCATTCCCCCCAATCCCCTTACCCCTTCGTCTACTTTGCAACCACCACGATGTGTACAGGGTTTGCCTCTGTCCTAGCGAGAAATGCTCGAGCCAACGTTGAAGCTCTCAAGATGATGAACCCTACAACGCAAACCATGCCTATACAGGGTCCTTACATTTCAGATGAGGAGCTAGATCGTTGCGGCAAGGCTGTGGCCTGCGCGCATGCAGTCCGTCCCCAAATCAAGGACCCTGCTTTGGTCGACAGGCAATTCCCCAAAGTAGTTCATCTCGAAGCGAAAGAGCTTGAACAAGGGCAGGGTATCGAACCGGGAATCGGACTTGCAGACCCAGGTAAAACTGGGGAGCATGCGACTGAGGCAAAGTAGGGACTTCCGGGTCTCTTACGCTCTTTCGAGGTGTACGCTGAGGCACTACCATCATACCAGGCCATGTCTACTGAATGAGGTACCTGCTGTCGAAGAGTCTCTTAATGTGACTTGCCAATGAAGGTTTAGCAACTTGATAAGTGATAAGGTTCCTCAACGTCAATTGTGCTGCAGAAGCTTTTTACAACGCTAAGCCTCTCCAGCGGACGATACGAACCAGAGTCACACCTTCCGGTCTCTACGCTTTTCGGTCTAATGTCGCCGTAGAACGAGAGCGGAAACTGGAGAAGATAGTCCAGTTTGTATGATACTTTGTAAACCTGTACTGTAGCATCGAGACCACCTATATATCAACACCTTCCGCTTGATCTGCCTGGATGTTCAATGCGCTCAAACGACGTACACTCACCTCCCAAGCTGTGTACGACGCGCTGCGTCTCCTACGTTCCGCCATACCAAGCCCCTTTTGAGCCTCAATCATACAGAAATAGGGAATTACCATAAAGAAGTGCATGGTGTGGTCAACCTACCGTGTATGTATATTGGCAAACTAAAGCCATCGCACAAACCTGCACGGCACCGGGAGATCACCTCTTTCCTATCCCTTTCCTTTTGTCCTCCCCCCTTCCCGCCTCCTGGTCTGTGATATCTGTCCATCGCGACGAGCCATCCAACCACCACCACCATGTGTATCGCATTTGCTGTCATACTCATTGCAAAAAGGCGACAACAAACGGCGAGGGTGAGTGTGACGCAGTCCGAGAGCACCAAGCTCAGCACTGCGCAAGGAGGCCACCTTTCAGATGATCTCCTCAACCAATGGGGAAAGATTTCAGCTTGCTGGTTTGCCACCCAACCACCCATGAGAGTAGACGGAAATTTGAT